GAGAGAAAAAAAATAAACATAGAAACCGACAGTGAAATGCTCTAGAGAGCAGCTTCATAAGAGCTTCACTCAGCTGAACTATTTATGCTATCGATAGCTTACTAATTGCTATCGATAACTATAAGTTCTTTAACCCCAAGGGGCTCTAGCTCTATTTAAATGAAGGGCTTAACACTTTGAATACACAATGAAAACGAATTTCATTAAAAGTTATAAGAGCTTTTATTAAAGAGATTAATAATGCAGCGAGGCGTGCTCGTAGAGTTGATACTAATTAACGATATTTATATTGTATCTCAAGTGAATGTCACTCATCAATCACATCTCGTCGATTTTTTTATGAGCTTCAGCAATGTAAATATTAATTTTGTAGCACAAATTGGAAATGCCAAATGGAGTTGAGCGATTTTTTGCTTCTCTTTTTTTTTTTTTTTTTTTTTACCACGTATGTATGCATACTTGTCTGCCTTACTGTTTGCTTACATCTGAGCTGTTGATTTGGTTTTTACATCGAAATATGTTGAATAATATTTACTTTTTATTTTTTTTGTATTTTGTTAGTTAATTTATATTTTTTATTAACTATGAAAATGTATTTAAATAAATAATTTATTTTATAGCTAAAGTGTTTTTATGAGTATACATATTGCATTATTTTATGACTCTTTTTTATTATATTTACTGCAGCTTATATATATCTCAATTCAATACATATATGTGCATTCACAATTTTCGTAATATTTTATAATACAATTTTCATATTTTTTTAAGCCAATCGATTTGATATAGCCCCAGAGCCTTGCAGCATTTGAATATTAATGAAACAGAAATTTATTATTTAAGAAATGCAAACGTAATTATTAATTATAATAGACTGCTGCTATATGCATTGATGTAGATATAGGGTAGGTCTTAGTCTGGAGCTTTAAAATTTGACAATTTCAATTAAAATTCGACTGCGAATTCCGCATTCAATAGCTATTGATAAATGCTTACATTTGAAAAATAATAAAAATGACAAATAATAAATAAAAATCAATGAAAGGCATATTTTATAAAGTAACTAACCGGGTGTGCCCAACCAGCAGATACCCTGCACGCTGCGCAGCTATTCACCCTGTAACATGTAAACTATAATAAGCTATCATCCCCCCAATTTTCAATGAGTATAAATTATAAATTTAAAAAAAAAAAAAAACAAAAAACAAAAAAACATAACAATCAGAGATTTGAATGCATATAAAATGGTTTATAAACAGAAATAGATAAGGCTTTGTTGAACATTTCTTTAGGCTTTTCCCATCAATAAAATAAATTGAACATAACTATTATGCAGATCTTTGAATTCATGCATTGTTAAATAACATTTAAGCAACAAAAAACAATTCTGTGAAATCTGTGCTTAAATCGAGATATATGAAGCAAAACAAATTTTAATTAAATAAATAACTGTAAATTGATTACAAATGCATATAAATATTTAAGCACGATTTAATCCAAGCAAAACAAACAGCTTATGGCAATCAGTCCTTCATGAGGTCTACCACAGTTTTGGGGTGTAAATGAAATTCTCCGAAATTCAAATATTAAATAGAAAATCATTTAAATTAAATGCTGTTTGGGAAACTTTTTTTTGTAATTAGCAGCACTTGATGGCTGAGCTATTGAAGTGTTTCAGTCATCAAGAGCAAATGAGCCTGCGGATATAAATTGTCGAATGAGTTTTATTTTAAGAAAATATATTTTAAGACTTCGAAGTAATTTTTGCGTGTGAAACCATATAAAGAATATAATTAATTTAAGTATGTTGCTTAACAATTTCTTCGATTTCAATTTATTAAAAATTAAACATTAGCTGATCGACTAAGAGATACCCTAACGTTTATGTTGAGCTGCAGTTTTAAATGCAGACAATAAAAGATATTCATATAAAAGACATTCATATTCATATATACATATATATAGATAAACGACTAATCCTAGCTGAACTTTTGTGGATAAAATTAAAAAATTAAAATATTCAGGAATATGTAGTCATACTAAACAAAATCTAGAATAAATAATGAATTTAGTGATAGGAAATATGCTTAAAATGATATAAGACCAACTTGAGCTGTGTGAGCTACCTAATTTTCTATGTTATGGAGATGTGTACTAAAGACTGCTCTGAAGCTTTGGCTCGAATAGCATTTGTAGCTAATTAACATTTCCAACTAATTAACACTTCAACAAGACTCTGCACCTAAATTAAAAATGGCAGCAAAAAACGCTTAATTTGCCCACACAATGACAAACCCCATGAATTATTCTCTCTAGACCAGAGAGAGCAGAGCTACGAGCTAAAAGCTACAGCAAAGAGAACTACAGCAGACTCGAAACTCTAACGAAAGCCATTAGCCATAAATGGATCACAATATGAAAAAGCTCAGTGTAGACTGCAATGGACTAATATGAACTGATTCTCTAATTTTGTATTTTTTCAAGCATTTTATGACTTAAAAAAATGAAATAGGTGTAACTTCGACTACCAATCCCTGTTATATCATCTGGATTTCAAAGAAACGTACAGAGAGACAGATCCTTATCAGGAATATATATACATACATACATACCTTATAAAATGCCCGATCTACCTGCACCCCCAACCAGCTGACGTATATTCAATAGCTTCCAGGAAACTAGAAAAAATACTCACACACACACATACACACACACAGATACACACACACACATACACACACACACACGCACACCTTTGGCTGTCAACTGTTGCTTGGTGTTTAATGCAATTAAAAACTGTTCTCTATGTCGTTTCTAACTTGCTTTTAAAAGTTCGCCAGGTTTTCTTTCTTTTTTTGTGTAACATGCTTCAGTTGCAGTTGTTTACGGTCGTTGATTAAATTAGTTAGCTGGCGCTAATCAAATTCTATAGCAAAATCTCCCAACTTTTCAGGGCCAATAAGCGTGTATGCTGGAGCCCGGGGCTAACCCAAAAGACAATTGCAGTCGAAAACAAAACTTACGATTGCAGCTGCTGCCAAAAAAAAAAAAAAAAAAAAAAAAACTAAAATAGTAAAATAAAGTGGAGGAAAGTAAAGTGTGGCACACATAGACAATCAGCAGGACAAGTGGCAACAATTTCAAGTCCATTGAGAAATCAGAGAGCAAAACACATGCACAGTGCGAAGCCAAGCTCATCCTGGCAGTCGTTGTCCTTGGCTTGCCAAGCTGTCTGTGAAATGTGTAACGAGCGGAAACCGCAGCGGAGAGTGCTAGAGAGAGGGCTAAGGGGCGAGAGAGAGACAGAGAGAGAGAGAGAGAGAGAGCCAGTGAGATGTAGAGTGATAACATTGAGCAGGATAGCTTTTGGCAGCCGTCTGCCACCTGCCACCTGCCAACTGCCAACTGACAGCATGCCAACTGACAGCATGCCAACCGTCCCGGTTGAGTGTGCATAAAAAAGGGTCGCTCATAGCCAGCTTCTGGCTGGGCGCTTGGCTAACCTATCGCTGCTGTCACATCCTGTGATGCCGAAGCAGCTCCTGCTGCGTCTCCTGCGGCTGCGGCTCCTGCTGTTCCTCTACCATATGCATTCATTTCCAATGCAATAATATGCAATCATAACAATGCCAGCTGCAGCAACCAAAAAAAAAATAAAATAAAATAAATATGCTAAACTGACAAATGCTCGACTAGAAGATGCCCTTTATATGCTCAGCCAGAAAAGAGCTGAGTAGGGAACTTTTACTTGAACTTTGCATGTGAAATGTGACGCTTTACAGGGTATCATACAATAGTTTTTATCATGTTGAACAAACAGCATGGGCTGTGTATATAATCAAATGAATTTGGCTTAAATAAACTCAATGCAATTTGTATATTGAGCAATTTATTGAGATGTTCAAACATGGACATGTGGACAGCTCTCATGATCTATTTATGAAGGTAAATGGAAAATAATTCAAGTATAAACAAGCATAAACATGATAAATGGTTTCTGTATAACCATCGCTCTATGCAGCGACAATGAGTTCAGCAAAATTCGTTTTAGCTCAAACAGCATCTGGAGAGATACTTGAAGGGGAAGCTCGATGATCTATGCCGCACTCGAATGAGTGAAAATGTATGAGAGGCAACAGTTTCTGCTTCACTCAAAGGGATACAACATTTGTTGCTGAACTGCTTGGCACCCCGAAGTGCGATGCCTTTTATCAAAAATTCTTGTTCTTATCTACTCAGTATCGAAAATTTTTTTACGTATATCCATAGGCCTTGCTCCTTGTTCATATACCTCTATTCTCGCTTGTATTCCTGGGGCTTTTCGCAAGCTCCTCTATGCTCTACCACACTCTGCTTGAAGGCGTCAAAAGAACATCGTCAATATTGCTGGAAGATATGCGTATTATCTCATATTTCCTCAATCGTCACATAGCGCACCCTCAAAAAATTCTTTCACTTTCGGCAGCTAGAAAAAGTCACTGAGAGCCAAGCCTAGGAAATGCTGTGGGTTATTGGTTCTGACTAAATATTTCATACAGATTCTATAAATAGGCAAAAATCAAAGACGAGCCAAGATAATCCTAATGAATCAGCTGTCAATAGGGCCAAGCTTGTGGTCATAAATAAGAGTATGAAGTGCCAACATAGCGCCGAAAACTAACTATCGAATACAGGGCTGTCCATATTCGATGCATCCATCTGCCAACCCTATATATTTTGATAGAGACGTATAGGCTTAAGGCGGCCCTTTAAGAGATATCTTATTAACACACAAAATATTGTGTTTTTCTTTGATTAAGAGGAAAAAAACATTTGTGGGTCTGTGGAATATGGGCAACCTTGTATGCGTAGACCACAGAAATTCCCAATAATTCTTGAACAAACCTCGTATATTAATAAACGCACTCTTTAAGCAAATCGCCTGAGCGTGCTTATTCAGTTTAGGCACAATTAGAGTATAGCTAGAATACTGCTAAATCTTTTAGTTTGACTGGCTGCAGTTCTAGTCTTAGTTCAATTATTAAATGGAAGCTATAGAGAATAGCTCTTTTCAGATTATACAATGTATTCTAAAATTACAAACGCTTAGCTTTCCCATTAGTGGCTGAATGAATGGAATTAAACTTTTGTGAATCATGAACTTTGGAAACCATATATCGGCAACATGATGCACTCTCTATAAGCTGGCCGAGGGCAAGGGCAAAGTTTGTCCAAGGACGGCATAATGGAGCAACAGCAGCAGCGGCAACAGCGGCAGCAGGCGCAACAGCAGGCGCAGCATATGCACCTGTGCCTTGTTCTGCCTGTGGCCTGATGTGAGCCACTGCCATTGTTGTTAGCTCTTTTCATTCCTTTCATTCCGATTTATACATACATTTTTTGCTGTTGTTGTTCGATGCCAGCCTTTCTATTAGCCAGCAGAACAGCAGCAGCTGCAGCGGCTGCTGACGCACAGCTGTATATAGAGAGCATTTGCCTTGAGCCTGGGCCCGTTGCCTGCTCTCTCAACGTGACTCCCATAATGACTGTGACTCTGACTGCGACTGTGACTGTGACTGTTGCTGTTGCTGTTGCTGTGACTGGCTGTGGCGGGGCCGCATGGCTTGGGCGCCCATTAGTGTTAGATGGAACGGCAAACAGCAACAGACACCAGATCGTAGCCAAAATAATGCGGTTGTGGCCAGCAGACAGCCAAACATGTTCCCTGTCACACATTATAGAAAGAGAGAGAGAGAGAGAGAGAGCTAGTAAGAGAGAGAATGAGTGTGTGTGATGAAGATAGCTAGAGCAAGGCAGCCAGACAGCCATTACAACAATATATATATGAACATCTCTTACAGTAATGTCAGCTCCATCTCGAAAGTCTGTCTCTCTAATTCATTTCATTTGCGCTGCTCGTTTCCCCTGTTCATTTACTTAATCAATTTGATGCGCCATGGAGTGACTCTAAAAATATTTATATGTAGATTTATATATATTCTTATATATGTGTGTTTTAATATGTACATATTTACCTATGCAAACTCTAAACTTTTTAACATCTTTCTAATAAATTGAGTACAGCTGTATTTCAAGTATCAGAAAAGAGTGTTGAATAACTTATCAAAACCTTTGCATAGTTTCCAACACCAAACTCTCAGTAGGCGCTATGATTTTGTTTTCGATTCGATTCGATTCGATTGAATCGACTAAATACATCTATGTGCTCTGAACTTCTGCTTAATCATGACTCTCCTCTCTTCACAGATTATATTCTAATGAATATAATCAGTGTGACTAACAATACTACCGGAAATAGAGTAGTCGTACAGGATGCGTTGCTGTTCTGCAAAATTCCATTTATGGTACATTTTTATATATTTGTATTAGTTATTTTAAGTACTACATAGGTAGGTGTTTCAGTGTTGCAAAACAATGGCATGTGCAGTATTAAGACTGTACTTGATAGCAAGAGAGTACCTACCTATGTAGGTACTATCTATGTTTAATGCATATTCTCTTGCTATCATTTACACTCTGAACACTACACATGCCATTGTTTTGCAACACTGAAACACTTTTATGTTTTAGCTTAACCAGCTTCTAGTTCTCTCTCTCGCTCGCTCTCTCTCTCTCCCTCTCTCTTTCACTCCCCTTACAAAAAGTATATTATTTTTTTCATACTAATGTTGACTATAGATCTTACTCTGTATAGATCTTACTCGTTTATGTAGTGACAAGAGCATATTAGTTCTATACTAAGTTCGTCGCACAGTTAGATGTTGAAGTGTAAAGGAATAAATCGGAAAGAAATAACAAAAAGGTATAAGCTGTATCATTTGGAGGCGTGACAAATCTGGGCATACCTCAGTTTCTACAGAGTCCAAAGCTTGAAAGCTGAGTTATTCTATAGATTATATTACATATGTATGTATGTATGTGTATCTATCACAATTTTAAGGCTAAGATTCCTATTCATATTCTGTATACAGTAGATCTATATATTTCATGAATTTGCCTTTGCTGAACGAGTATTAAGCAGTCGTCTATGCAGCTTATTCAAACACAAACGCATGTGTATATCATCTTTTTTTTTTTTTTGCTGGTAAAAATTTGCTTAATTGAGTCCTGTACGGTGCATGCGTTCCGTCTCCCGGCGGACACATTGGCCTGCCATTGTTTCAGCTCGTGCTGCTGCTGCTGCTGAAAGATTTAAGGCATAATTCACAATTTGTGTGGCCTACGTTGCACTCGCTTTGACCATTTGCCATTCTGAAATTCAGTTACAGGTCAGGTGTGTGTGCGTGTGCGTGCGTGTGTATGTGGCACTCAAATGCGAAACATTTTTAAATACCACAAATGTCGCATGTTTCTACTTGCGCTCTGTTTGATTGAAATAAACAGAGAACTAGGTAATAAAGTCATTTTTTAAACACAGAAAAATGTTAGATAAACTAAAAAAAAAAAAAATAAACAAAATTCAAATTTGCTATATATATGTAAAAAATGTATTTATTCAAAAGTCAACTTTTGATATGCTAAAGCAGCGTTTTAGAAAAACGGCCTTTGTTGCCTTTGGTGTATGACATAATAAAGTACACACACACACACACAACACAAAAAGTCAATGGGAAAATGTTCAAGTTTATTTTGCAACTTGACAAACATTTAATGAGAAAAAGCGGGGGCGAAAGTGAAGTAGGGACTTCAGTGCTTGCCTCGAAACGCTTAACAAAATTTACATTATTATCTGTCATTATTAAAATATGTGCATAAATGTGCGCAAAGACCTGTTTGTGTCTGTGTCTGTGTCTGTATGTGTGTGTGTGCATGTATGCAAATACAATAATAATATGCAAATTTTTAACAGCATTTTATGTGTAATTTAAGCCGCTTGTTCAACACTTTTCCCACTCACTCAGCATGTCTCCCGCTCTCTCTCTCTCTCTCTCTCTCTCTCTCTCTCTCTCTCTTTCTTTCTCTCTGCTCTTTCTGGCCGTCCTTCTTTGTACCTTTTATCTATCAAATGTCATTGGGCGTTTTGGTAAAAATTGTAATGCCCGCATTTTCGCTTTTTGCAGTTCCCAGCAATGCGCGCCCTATCCATATCGTCGGCAGACGCTTTCATCCTGGTCTACGATGTCACCGATGCGTCCACATTCGAGGAGGTGCGGGCCATACGAGATCAAATACATGAGACAAAGGCAACCACAGCGGTGCCAATTGTGGTCGTTGGCAATAAGGTGGATCTGCTGGCCGAGGACAGTGAACTGCGCGAGGTGAGTCATTGCTCATTGCACAATATTAGCAACTCATTGTCATTACTATAGGCATTGCCGCTGTCATTATTAATTGTTATTATTGTCATTGGTATTGGCAGCATCATTAGTATTATCAGTTCTATCAAGAATACTTTTATTATTATTATTATACTAAAATAAAATAAATTTAAAATAAATCATTGCTGCTTATGATCATTCGTATCATTATAATCATTACTTCATTACTATTACCATTAATATTTTAATTATTATTATTATCATTGCCAATTTTATTATTATCATTAGCTTTTTATTCATTATCATTATCATTGGTATCATTATGAGATTTAGTTTATTACCAATATTATTGATATAGATATAATTTCCCATTTTCATTACAAACAGCATTGCTATCAATAGCCTTTTATTAATTATCATTGGTATCATTATGAGGTTTAGTTCAATACTTTCTTATCATTATCATTATTCATTATTATTGCTCAATATCCGATCATTATTATTATCATTACTGCTAGCACAAATATTATTATTACGTTTAGCATTAATATTGGTATTACTAATGTCATGCATCACTCTCATCATTCACATTCTAATTATCATTATTTTCGTCCTTATTATGGACGACAATGAGGCACAGGGCTTAGTTAATGGCGTTGCCAAGCCGATGCTTTTTCCATTATTATAATTGTTATTATTTTCATTGCTATTATCATTATATTTGCGTATATGCTTAACAATTAATTTCAAGCGCGCCTTGTGGCCCAAATGACAGCAGCAACAACAACAACAACAGCAACAACAACAACATCGGTTCTAACTGATTTAATTTTTGTTGGCAAAAGCACTCAAAGGAGTGTTTATAAAACACACACCAATACACACAGCCAAACACACACACACACACTCACACACACTCACACACACATACACACACCAGTAAACACAGACAGCCCATAGTAATTCGTAACCCGTTTATAAGCTATGCAAATTGCTTTTGTTTCGGCCCAAGCAATTATGTAAAGTTTGTCAAGCGTGACCAGCTACGTGACGGCGGGCTGGGTGTCTAGGGGGACTTGGGGCGTGGCTCCAGGCGGGCCTAGTGCCCGAAAACTGCAGCGAAAGTAAAATAGAAGCCAAAATTAAAATTTATTTTGTCTTATTTTTGTTTTCAACTTTTCGGCAAGCCGAGCTAAACAATTCGCAGCTCCAACACAGATAGCAACTGATTTAATGATATCTATATATATCTCTATATAGCTGTCTCTTGTTGGGCGAAATCTCTTGAACAAATTTAATTGAAGGTAGAAATGATTCAACCAATTGCTTTCATAACAAATCTGAAATGTTATTGAAATGAAAAGCCGAATTTTTCCACCAAAGAACATTTATTTCTCTTTACCTTTGCTCAACAAATAAGCCAGATCGATGACATTTGGCATAATTATAAGTTATTAGCGCTGCTTAGATTATCAGTCCTGCTTTGACAATTAGCTCTCATTCCAAACATAATGTCATGAGAGTAGCCATAAAGAGTAGTTAAAAAACTCGGGAATATCTTGAAACACTTTTGTCTCTCTGTCATTTATTTTCCCATTGCTCCTATGCGGTCACCCTTGACACTCTGTGGGCCACATCTGAACAATGTATGTGCCCTTCAAGTACATATATATATATATATATATGTATGTGTATTGTGTGACACAAAATGCTAAACAAAGCGAGCTGCAATGAAATTTCATTAAGTCGTAAATGCTTCAACTATTCAAATGAAGTGTAAACTCAAAAGTGCAAAAGTCACGGGAAATGTGATCCCATCAAAAGTTGCAGCAAACCTTTTGTGCATAATTAGTGACAGACGTTGCAGCACTTAATAATGCCACAAAATTAGCACAAAATTGCAATAGAATGCGTAGCAACAGCCACTGTGCACAGTGGGCGAAAAATATTGAAGAGGTGTATTAACATAAAAAAAATATATATATATATATATATATATATATATATTCGAATTTATGTCTTAAATTTAAATATTATATTACATATATTTTCTTAAAGTTTTTTTAACTACAAATTGATTATTTTTATTTATTTATTATTAAATTATTATGAGTTTATTTCATATTTTATTTTTTATTTTTATTCTATTATTTTTAAGAGTTTATTTATTATTAAATTTTCTGCTAATATTCACAGAACTCATTTGAATGCAATTTAATAAACAAGCTAACAATATTGTCTGCACAGATTTACTTCAATTATATATTAAATAATCGAATTGAAATCCGCAAAAGTTTCTAGAGATGAAATATATATAAAATAAAAATATAAAAAAAAAGTAAAACTACTAAACATTTGCTGGATTTGTAAAACTTTTGCCTCCAACTTGAGTGGAACAAAAAAAACACTTTCCAGTGGCTAAGCTCAACAGTTTTGTTGTTGGCTCGAAGTTTGTGGCGAAAGCGCCTGTGGATATGCAATGGTTATTGGTGCATTGTACACGCTATATGTATGTACATAAATATGTATATATGCATATGTATACGTATACGTATACGTATACAGCTGTCCCCTTGCTCACCTGCCCCGGCCACTTAGACAACTTTTTCGTACAGTTTTTATCATCTGACGCCAACTTTTGTCGCAGTCGCAGTTTATTGCCGTTCCTTGCATATCGTTTCATTTGACATACATCTACTATATACATATATATTTGTTTGTATGTGCCATGTAAATACCCTGTAATCATATCAATTTGTGCTTGGCATACCCTTAATGATCATCGTTTGAGCCAAATGGAATTTTGTATTAGTTTATGCAAATTGAAGGACAGCTGCGCTGTCTGTTATTCGCCCTGTGGCCAGCTTAAATCATAAACTCAATTTAAAATACACACACACTAAAAGAGGGAGAGGGAGAGGGAATAAGACTGAGGGAAAGAGAGAGAGAGAGAGGGACTCAAGTCAAATGCTGCACAATGTGCAGTTCGAAAAAATTATATTGCTTATGCATTAGAAGAAATCGAACAATTTAAATGGAAATTTAAATAATAATAAAAAAACTATATATAAATAAAAAAAAATATAGGCATATACTTCATAGATATATAAATATCAAATATATAAACATAACACAAATACAAAATGAACATAAACATATATATATATATATACAATATGCATATACTTCTTAGCTCGCAAATAACTCTTGATCGTTTCTCGAAGTCTGCAAATAGGTGTTTTCCATTCACACTTGAGAAGAAACTCAGTGAGCAAACTCTTTCATAAGTTCGTTTAGGTTCGGCTTGCAACTGACAGCAGAAAGACTTTTGCATATGTATTGGTAAACGATTGATCTCGCTTAACACATTAAGAGCGTACGTGAAATGCTTGTGTGCATGGGTGTGTGAGTATGTGAGAACCTCTTGCAGTGACTTTTCGAGGCAATGCATTGTGAGAAATCGTATCGCTCCCGAAATTATGCTCATTAAAAGAGGAACAAACGAAAAGCTCAACCCAAGGCGCTCAACAGAAAACGAAAAGAAACGAGGACACTTGCTCAGAGAGAGAGAGAGAGAGGGATAGAGAGAGAGTGATAGATAGAGAGATAGATAGAGAGAGGGAGAGAGAGTGAGTGAATATGATATTTTCGGTTGATCACGCGAATGGAGTGAACGAAAATCCTGATTCCCAGCCAAACTTATATGAGCAAACTTATACGATTAAAACGTATTCCGGGTACGGTGTCTTGAGCGTCGCTATAACCGGATTCGGCTGACTTGAAATCGGTTACATACATAAATATGAATACAGGCAATATGCTCAACATGCTCAACAACTAACAAAAGTCTCAGTGACAACTTTATCTAGATGAACTCAAAAACTAATAAAATGCCATACATATGCCCAGCATATATGCATACATGTATCTATATAAATATACGTATAACTCAATCCCTCAGTGACTCTCGAAATTTGCCTAAGCTCTGACTGTGAGTTTGCTGCTAAAATAAATCACTCTCAGCTGTCAAATTAAATACAAAATAATTTAAAATTACTTTTCAAATCGTGCGACAATTTGAACCCTTTTTTTCTCTCTTTTGGTTTTTGTTGCTTTGGTGATTTGTTGTTGTTGTTGTTGTTGTTATTGGTGGTGGTGCTGGTGGTGCTGCTGCTGTCGCCGTTGTTTCCTTTCTTTGGACAGCTCTTTGAAAATTTCAATTTTAATTTATTTGCAGTTTGGCGTTGCGAGTTGTTTAGCAGAAGGAGCAACAGCAACAGCAGCAGCAGCGGCAGAGTTTGGTCCACTTGGCGTATACTTGATATTTCATTATGTGCCCCATTTTCTTCCTCTACTTTTTTCTTCGGCTGCCGCGTGCCTTTTTTTTTACCACACGCACATATAGGGAGAGTGTGTGTGTGTCTCAGTCAGTTTATTGTCAATTTCAATAGTCGAGACAATGAGAGTATGCCCCATCTTCTTCTTCTTCTTCATCATCTTATTCTTTTTCTTTTGGGTGTATTGACTTTAACCGAGTTCTAATATAATAAAAATGCAAATTGCTCAACGCCAGCAGCGGAAAACTGTCGCGTTTTTTTCTTCTTTTTTTTTTTTTTTTTTTTTTTTTTTCATTACTGTTTTTTTTTTTTTTTTTTTTTGGGGTTTTTTGGTTTTGGGCTTAGGTTAAGGTTTGGGCTTTTGGCTATCCCGCTCTGGCCACCTTTGGCAGCCAACATTGTCGTCTTTGTTTAACGAAGTGAACTTAACTTTAGTCTTTTACTATATGTATTTAGGCCATGTTTGGGACGCAGCGTTTTTGTTGGCCATTTTAAAGCCGTCGAACGCGTCGCCATGGCCAAAATGTAAAGCCGCCAGCTGGGCCAGGGCAACGTTTGTTGCCTTTTCATGTTTCAGCTGGTCGGTCTTTGGGGTTTGCTCATTTGGAAGAATTGGGCTTTTGGTTTTGTTTGGACGCCGGCTTAGTTTTGCAGCTTCAGTTC